TAACGAGAACAAATTGAGAAAGACTAATGTCAAATGTATGTTTATATGATGTATGTAACAGATGTTAAATGATGATGAAAAAAGAGAAGCTTATATGTTCTCAACGTTATTCTTTCGTTATAGCACAAACAATACAAACTGAGATCTTATTTGCAGCAGCTTGATAAAGTTTTATTGTTACTTTTTTTTCATACGAAAAAAAAGAAAAAGAAAAAGAAAAGAAAAAATTTTTTAAAAATCGAAAGTTTCTTTTACAACACTGACCTCGTTTGATTTGGTGAAATCGAACTAGCTAAAAATGTCTGATGATGTCTTATTGCTTCACTTGCTGCAATAGCTTGAAAAAATTGCTGTTGACGTAAAGCAGCGGCTGCTGATGCATAAAATGCAGCAGAATATGGATGTGATGGAGTTAAAGTTGAACGTTTTAATGCAGCTAAACGATTATTTCTTGATGTAGATGTTCGACGTCGAAGTTTACCAGTTGTTGCACCAATAAAAACATCATCAGCTGATGGATCAAGCATCCAATAATTTCCTTTACCTTGAAAAATAAACAAAAAAAAAAAGATTTTAGAAACAAAATAAAAACTTTCGTTTTTTTTTTTTTTTTCTTCATATTTATTTTTACCGGGATCATCATAATGTCGTGGAACTTTAACAAAACATTTATTTAATGATAAATTATGTCGAATAGAATTTTGCCAACCTTGTTTATTTTCCCGATAATATGGAAAAGTTTTCATAATATATTCATAGATACCATTTAATGTTAAACGTTCATGTGTTGATGATCGTATAGCCATCATAATTAAAGCATTATATGAATAAGCTGGTTTAATACCATATTTATTTTTTGGTGTTGATGTTGTTGAAGATAATTTTTGAGTATTTGTACCATCTGAACCAGATTCACTTGTTATTGATGATGAAGATTTTTTTGTTGATTTCGATTCTTCATCTTCTTCGGAACTTTCAATATCAATTTGATCATTTTCTTCATCAATAATTGTTCGTTTTTTTGTTAATAATTCATCTTCATTTTCATTTCGTGTACGTTTTAATGAATTTATTGAAGTTAAATATTCATTAGGTTTATTTACCGTATTATTATTATCATCATCATCATCATCTTTTCCGAGAACACTTCGAATTGAAAATGAACTATGAAAAACGTGTTCTTGCATGGCGATCCGTCTTTTTTTTTTTCTTTGTCTAAAGAAAAAAAAAACTCGGAATAATTATAATATTTTTCTCGATGACAATGTGTCAGAAGTAATAGTGTGTTTGATCAACAAAAGTGATGCACATCTCTCGAAGAACAATTTTTTTTTTTTTTTCTTTCTATTTGCATACAGAATGAGGTGTTCGTGTTCATTATTTTTCTTCTTCTCTTAGACCAATGTTGATGCAGTTTGCTAATAAATGGTTGGTCAAAACGTTTGAGAGACAGAAGGAGAGAGAAAGAAGAAGTTTTTTTTTCTTCCTCTTCGCTTTTCTACGGTAGCCAATGTTTGTAAAACAGAACTTCTTTATTTTCACCAATAGAAAGTAAATACTACTACGAATAAGAAAAAAAAAAAAAAAATTAGGGCTTCAATATCTACAACAAGGAAGACAGACGGCATGAAATATGGTTAGAAATACAAAATATAACGATTTTTTTTTCACAATTACGATTCAATCTAAGATGAAGTCTAGCACGTAATACAAAAAAAAAAGAGAACTATGAAGATTATACTTTCACTTATCACAATTGTTTACATAGAAAAAAAAAAAAAACAACTCAGAGTAAATGACGTTAATCATTCTGATAGTTTATTATTATAAGATGGCAAATGATGAAGTAGTTTCGTTCGACTACGTGCAAGAATATTATTGACTCATAAATATGTGTTATGATATTTGTATAAGAATAGATATATTGTGTTATACCCTGTAAAGAAAAAAAAAAAAAAGACTAATTTACATTTGTACTGTGATTAGTTAAAGATATAATTCGCTTAGGTTCTTTTTTCAATGAACAATAGTAAACGTGAGCGCATGTTCACTTTGTGTCGATACATGAGGACTTTACTACATCTCTTTTGATCTGACCTTAAATAATGGATGATGTATGTTGAACACTTCACAACTATATATATAAAAGAAAGATATTCATTTGCGCTTCATCAAATTTCAATGGTCAATGACATTTTCACTTCACAAATTGTCGCGAACATGAGATTAAGAATATAATAATGATAATTGAATAGAAAGAGAATAGAATATGTATACCGCATCTTTTTTTTTTTGTTTAGTAAGTAGATGCTCAGATTAGAACTAGTCAATATAATGGTAAAGACAAGTTCAATTATCTCTTTTTTTTTTGTCGCTTCAATATAACACAAAAAAAAAAACACACAATACGAAGTATAATTATTTATTTCGTATGAAAATTTTTCTTTTGATTGATTCTCTTCTTTTCTCTTTGTTCTTTTATATATATATAAAGTGTATGATTGGCGTCAGATTTTATCTTTTTGTCTCAAAAGGTTTTAGCATCATATCGATTTCACTGTAGTCGAAAATAGTTTATTGTCTTTTCTTCTTCTTTTTTTTTTGTTTTACAGATAATAGACTTATTGTGAAAGAAAATCAAGTTTGCCTTTTCGTACATGACAGCTGACGAACATGGGAAAAAAACGGCAAAGTTTTGTAATATAAAGATAATTAACAACAATATTTATACCTTCGAGAGGGGCTGTATCGATTCTTGAATATGATTTTTCTAGTGATATACACCGATATATATACAACATAATGTTATTTTAATTAGAATTCACAAAAAATAAATTAAAGAAGCATTTACAAGGATGTAGTGAAAGAAAAAAGTGAATGGAGTATCATCTATATAATTTTTTCTAAAGAGCGGAAGAGAAATGGGATTTTTTTTCATTGTATAATTTTTTTTCCTAACTGTGAAAATGACTTTTACTGGCTAGAAAAAAAAAGAAATTTTTCTGTAGGTCAGGGGTTCCACCCCCTCACTGTTAGTTACATCCTTGAACTCTTCTATTACATAATATTGACTTGCCCATGGAGATTAATTCGATAAGAAAGCAGTAATTATGATGAACAATTCCAATAGAAATCTGAAACAAAATGTCTTCGTACACTTCTTTGCCCATATAAGCAAAGTGTATGTTTACACTCTATTTTCGTCATGAAAGTGTACAAAGGGTACTAAAATCATTTCTTTATTCAAAAAAACAAAAAATAATATTTGTATTTCTTTTTTTAATAAAAATACCGATTAGTGATACCTTGCAAAGAAATAAACCAATGACGGCTCAAAGGAGCAAAAGCGGGAAAAGATATTTCCGAAAATGGGAGAAAGATGTGGCTCAACACGGAAGCTTTCCGAGGAAAGCGAAATTGGGTGATGTTATGAAGTTTTTCTTGCAATTAGAAATGCATGAAAATCGTACCGGTTTCAGCCAACTTTTAGATTAGATAAACTTTGAGATAAGCTCAAAACTATTCACTGACTAAGAAACATTAATATTGGTTTTCAATAGCTCCTCAATAATAAAACAGCTTTTCCTTGCAGGGACGTTTCTTAATATTTTTTGCAGGGGAAGGTGACTGCGTCTACCATCATTATTAGGTTTAATGAGAAGTTCTCGAGCTCGTGTTAAGGTTTCGAGAAATAGACAAACTCTAGATATTTAAAAAACACATTTCAATTTGTCACAAAAATAATCAAGGTTTTCCGATAATTTCAATAACTCATTTTGTAGTGACATGTTTCTATTACATAAAATCTTCACAAATCGAAGAAAAGTATAGTCCACATCTTCCGAAATTAAACAAAGAAATAGTCTGTGTACTTCCGCATTTTCAAGAAAATAAAGGTGCGCTAATTTCTTCAAGATGAGAGAAAGCTATGAACTAAATTTCTACAAATCGTAGAAAGATATCGCCTGAATCTTCTAAAAATTGGAAAGACGTCTGAAATAAATTATAAATACATGTACAGTTTCATCATCGGGCAAGTATATATAACAAACATGAATATATACAGTTTTTAAGATCTAAGACCCAAAGTATAAATTTTTTCAGCAGAGTACGCAGTACATTTTAATTTTCTGAGCAAAGTGTGAAACAGAATGTAAATCGAAAGCAGCAGCTGTTCTGTACATTTTGCTTCTGTTTGATACACCTGCTCTTGGAAGCTCTGGTCATAATTCGTTGGGATGAGTAAAAGATTGGTGAAGAAATATGTTTCAAAGTAGATAGAATTAAGTGGATTCTTCTTTTTCCCATCCTTTCTCATGAACAGCTCGACAAAAGATGATGCAATTTTCTTCCTGCTAGGATCAAATCGAGGTGCGTGTTTTTTTTAAAGCTGACGAATTTCGTACGAACAATATTTTCAAGAAAAAAGAGTGCGCGTCCTAATTTAACCAAAGTACTCATGAAAAATCTCGAGTTCGGTCACACGTCAAGACTTTTTTTCTTCAATTAACGTGATCGAAAATTAGCTCTATTAAAACGATGTTCAAGGTTCATGGTCTATGTTCTCAGCACCTTTAGAAATTATCATTAGGAGAGTTTTGTATACAAAAACTTAATTTTTATGGCATTTGACAGAAGACGGATACTTCGAAGTTATATTAACGATGAAAAATCAATAATCGAAAAAAATTTTAATTTTAACAATCGCGAAATGAGAAGGGAATATCCTTAAACAATCTCTGTGTGAATTTACATCGTTTTTGTACATTTTAATCTCGCATAGATTGCGCTATCAGTGTTTTGTAAACGATTACTAGCGGCATCTTTTTTAATATTTTTCTATTGGTTTGCTATGAATAGCCTACATGCATAAGTAACAAACAACAGCTATTTTAACCTTTTCTAACGAGTACACAATACGAAAGAAACATGTACAATTTCAAAATATTTATTTATTTTTTTATAGATTATCATTTTTTTACTTATTGTTACATTAAACAATGCTTAAAGGTTTAACATGGGCAACGCTTCGTGCGAATTATTCATTAATACCACTTTTTTCTGTTGTTGCTCTTGGTGTAGTGATGGCGGCTGGACAATCGTTTCGTAGTTTGTATGGATCACCTGATGTTAAAGTAAATCGTGGTAATCCTGATCGACCATGGGAAGTACAAGTTAAGGATGATGGTACATTTAAACATACAAAATATGTTAGACTTCATGATTATGGTAAAATGAAGAAAAGTGAATATGAACCAGAACTCAGCGAGTGAACAATGCTAAAACATTTCTTTTGTTTTTCCAACGTCAATCCTTTAAAGACTACAAATCTATTACAATAAACAGCAGTAGTTTACGTCCATACTCTTTTTTTTGTCATCACACAGTCCTGATTTCTAAAAAATAAATAAGAAGAAAAAAAGCTAAAATTTCTTTTTCCATTAACATCTTTTCATTTTCAGATGGCCTATCAAAATCGACCTCCTGAACAAGCTCCATTAGAATTTCCCTATATTGGTAGGTGAAAATTATTTATTATACATATATATTAAAATTAATTATAATTTAGGTGATGTAAGTCAATATGAACGTATTGATAAAATTGGTCAAGGAACATTTGGGTAAGAAATATTTTGTAAAAATTTGCATGAAAAAGAAAAGATTGTTTATTTTTATTTTTTTTTGTAGAGAAGTATTTAAAGCTCGTTGTAAAAAGACAAATGATTTTGTCGCTATGAAATTAATTCTAATGGATCAAGAAAAAGAAGGCTTTCCAATAACAGCCTTACGTGAAATAAAAATTTTACAAGAACTTCGACATGATAATATTGTTCGTCTTATTGAAGTTTGCCGATCAGCAAGTATGTTTAAAATTTCAAAAATGAAAAACAATTCCTTCGGGGACATTAAGAACAATTCATTGATAACTTATGTACATTAGTTCAAACACTGGGAGAATAGACTAAAGTCCCCGACACATTAGAAGACCCGGGGTCTTCTGATATGTCCCTTAAAAAAAAGCTATTTTTTGACAGTATCGCCAAAAAATTTTGGTTCTAGTCAATTTTTGTCCAATACATCATTAGTAAACGAGTTTATTTTATTTATTTCTCGTGCGCAGAATGAAAAAAAATTATATATTACCCTGTGATAAGGAAGAATGTTATCGTTAGCCAGAAGTGTTCTAAGAATAGTACAGGCAATACTCCCTAACATCTTGGTACAATGTCCAATAGAATTATTTTTTTCTAAAAAATTCTATTGTCACTGCCAACATTTTACCTTGTAAATAACTGAAAAAAGAAAATGACCTTCTTTTTGTCGAATTTACTTAAGGCAACTGTTTATGTTGAGGTTTTATTAGTACAGATGGAATTAGTTCCGGTGAAATCTACCACTAACATAATTATTGATCACAAGTTAACTTTGATGAATATGATTGTATTCTGAAGAAACAGGTTCTAGAAAAACAACAGTTGAATACACATTCTATGTTTTCTTTTATGTTTGTTTCGAAAAATGCCTTTGGGTCGTATTGAAAAAAAGAAATTCGTTCTCAGACTCATAAGTACTCACCGAACAAACTTCGAAGTGTATACGTGAAGTTAGGTTTTCTTCAACTTTAAAAATCTGTTTTGGAATAAAGACATTTCTGAACCTCTAGAAGAAATTTATAGACGAACAAGTTTTTCAAATTAATACAAAACGAATTTTTATCAAATATGTTACTATTTTACAAACATCCGCTCATATGCTACATCCGCGAAAGTGAACTCGGTTCACTAGATTGTACGGTCATAGAAAGGTTTTTTGCGCATATAGAAATTAATGAATTTTCCCAGAGTAAACTTCAAAGAAGGATTAAAATTACTCCACGATATGNATTTTATAGAAGCAAAAGGAAGTTCATCAGCTTCGATGGCCGAAAGATATTCGGCGATCTTGATTTCGATGAATTTATATCGGCGATCCCTATTTCGATGATTTTTTATTTCGGCGATCTGGATTTTCGATAATGTGAGTTTCGGCGGGAGTTTTGGCGATCTGAGCTTTCGGCGATGAGGCATACAACCGATTTTGATAGTGTATGGGGAGAGGGAGGTTCACATGACTGAACTCTGTAACTGATTCCGGATATACCACTGATTTTTAATAGAAATGATTTTGAGTGTGAAAGAAAAATGAAGTAAGATCTACTGTTTGATTCAAGAACGTTTATACTAACTATAGTGATAGAGGACATAGAATAGAACATTCTAGTACAGTTTGAGCGGATTTGAATTGGTGCGTGCTCGTTTTTACTAAATTTGACCATTGTGAAAATTATTTTAGAATATCTATCCCTATTTGACCTGATGAAAAAGTAAGTTTCATTGTTTTTTTAAGCTAATATCTGCCTGGACGTAAATTGTACTCCTCATTCCTTGATTACGCCACTAGTTAATAGTCTTACGGCGTCAACAAGATCATCGTGAAGTGGTAAATTAATTTGTCGAAATATATCGAAAATATTTTCTCGTGAAATAGAACCATTACGATCTTTATCATAACGTAAAAACATTTGTCGAATTTCTTCATGATTTGTTATACGCATATGTTTTAATTTATTACGAATTTCAGCATATAAACGTATAAAATCACCTGGTTTACGTTGTACACGTATATTTGTAGTAAGTCGAGCATCAGGTCGACCTGGTTCATTACTTAAATGTTGTCGTAATGAATCAATAACAGCTGGTGAAAATTGTCCAGGATGTTCTTCAGCATATTTTAATACATATAAATCAGCTGAACAAATAATAAAACGTTGACGAAATACTTCAATAGTTGCACCAATATAAAAATCCGATGGACCATAAAATTGAGGATGTTCAGGTGAAGAATCTTTGAAAATATAAATAATAATTGCCGAATATTATAATTATTATATTTACTTGGTTTTGATACACGTGTTCGTTCAAGAAATCGTCCACCAATAATGCCTGAATTACGTTGAGGTGGTTCATGAATACTGATTGTATCATCACCAAGACGATAACTGATGATGAATTTACGTAATTTATCGTCTTCACGAGGACTATCCTATAAAATAAAATAAAAGATATATATTGAATAAAAAAGAATAGAATTTTTCGTACTAAAACAGCTTCATAACGAAGTACACGATGATCATTTTCCATTAATTTTACATAATCTTTTTTCGGTCGTTCTGGCTGAAGACGTAAGCAATTTTGTAATGAATCTTCCAATGAACCAAATCCATTATATGGTGGAATTTCCTAACAAATTATATAAGTTTTTTTTTTTTTTAACAATTAAATATAATTAGATTATATTTTACCATTTTAGCAAATTCGCTACGTGGTGCTTGAGTATTAATTGTTTCAAAATTATTAACACCAAAATTTTTTGTATAAAACGTTTTTGTAAACAAATCACTATCATATATAAGAAAATTTCGACCATAAATATTAATTGTTTTTCCAATCATTAAATCCGATGGTTTGTAATAATCATTTATTTCAGTATCAGTTAATTCAAGAAAGACATGAGGAAATGTACCTGAAAATAATCATATATTTTTAGTGAGACAATTCAATATTGTTCAACTAAATTGAGGCTAGGGACTCAGGCGAATGATTTTATGACGGGTGCCGAGCCCTCAGATACGTTCATTGTATTCCCACTTCCGATTTTCTGTTATTTTCCGGTCGGAAACGATATTTTTCTTGTAGGGTCTAACTAAAAACCGAGTGCTAGAATAATACAAATAAGAATTTAATTTCTTTAGTATCGAAAAATAATTAGAACAGATCATTTGAAAATATTATTATCATTAAATCTATTTATTTCAATTATTGTTCAGCATTCGATCGAGTCATCAGTGATGATCATTGATACACGATAATTACAATAGTTTTCGAAGAAAATTTGCATTCATTTTGGTAAGGAGAGAACAATAAGAAATTTTTACTCTTAGAATAATCAAACTTATAATAAATAACAAGTTAAAATATTGAAAATCTTCGTCTCATTTAATATTTTACATATAAAATCCAAATGATAGTTCTATTGTTTCAGTCGTTATAGAAAAACTATTTCAATAACGAACGATTTTCTTTGCTCCTATACAAACCTTTAATATCATAACGATCTTTTGGAATTTTATGGCGAGTAATAAGTATAGGAAATGGATCCCGACCATCATTAGATTTATATACTTCTCGTATTTCCATTGTATCATTAACTAGATAATAATGAATAATAAAATGTCTTTGTTCTCCAAACATTTGTGAACGATCATCCCAAGTAGCATAAAAACGTAAAACTTTTCGATCCATTTCAACATATTGTTTAAGTTTATCAAAATCATTTTTGGTTTTATATGATTTAATTTCGGCTGCTTGGTGTCGTTTCAATAAATAGGGATCACGTGGAATTAATTCTGATTGATTAATATGTATACCTTCACTTTCAAGCCATTCCTAAATCAATATTATAAATAAATATTTCATTATCAAGAATTTGTTTTTTTTTCTTTTCTTACACGAGTAAATGCATCACAATCACAAATACGAAATACTTTGCCATAGACAGCTAAATTTTGACCAAGATTAAGATCTCGAAAGTTATATGTTTCACCTTGATCATTTTTTGGAAATCGATGACGACGAATTAATTTACCTTGTGGTATACCACTATTTTCTTGTACTTCTTCAAGTATTTCTAAACTATCATCTTCAAGATAATATAAAATCTTGACTGGTCGTACACGATAATATTCATTTGGACTTTCTGGTATTGTTTGTTTAAAATATCCAAAGAAACGAAGAACTTTTTTATCGAATGCTAATGTAGCTGGAACGAATTTATCAGGTGTTTGAACAACAGCTTTGCCATATAATAATTCAGGACGATAATTTCGGAGAAGTTCTAGTTCATCTTCACTGATTTGATTATAATTAATACGGGTACCACCTGAAAATAAAATAGATAAATTGAAGAATAATCTATTACGATGCGCAGAGAGAGAGAGAGAAAAAAATTGAATATAGAATAGATTACCTAATCCAACTTCAGGCCATTTGGTAACTCGATGACCATTTTTATAATCGAGTGTATGACTAACATGAAAGTTGGTTTGCTAAACATTTTAAATATTTTTATAGTAATCAAATACGAGAAAGGTAATAATTATTAATCATACGTACTGTTGGATCACGGAATGAGTTTCCGGGTAAACGTGGTAAACCTTCCATTTATTGTACTGTTGCTTACACTCGCCACCGAGTTGTTAAGAACTATTGAAGAACAATACATTGTTGCTATTTACTGTATTCACTTTTTCATAATAGTTTTTTCATCTTTGTTGCTTAGAAACGTCCATACAGATTTCATTATAGTTCAGTTTACATTTTCAAAATCTTGTGTAAACATTGTCTTTGGTAGTTTTCCTATATTAAAAAAGAACTTAGATGATGTGAAAGGCTGATTAAATAGATGTCGCAAACAAATGAATTGTTCAGCATATTTGAACCAAAATAGTTCGAGTATTTAATAAAATCCATGAGTTCTACTTGCCTGAAAATATGTTTAGTACTTAAGAGAGGGCCAACCATCGCTTTCTTCAGGGTGTGAGTGGTTGCTCTTAGTAGAATAAAGATTTCGCCCTCATCCACATCCACCTACTACTACACATCCACACCCTTTATGGTCTTTAATAAAGATCATAAATAGAAGAGCAACAAAAAAGAATTCTCTTGAATTTCCTGGGGTATCCTCAGGAACAAAAAGTTGATTTATCATAAAGTATCGTTAGAGCTGTGAAATATCCTCAGAGTTCATCAAACTATTAAAATGGAAATCGGTTTTTGTCTTATGTAGGGCAGTACAAGAATTTTGATGAATCCGTCGGCATTATGGAAAACAGCTTCTAAAAGCGATGGATGCAGTTCTTTATTTGGATCATGCATGCATTTACCAAAATATTTTCAGTGAAGTATAAAATGGCTGAGTACGAAGTCAAACAAAACAATTAAATTTTTTTCGCCATTATCAGGGGGACATTGACTATATGATACTTTGTGATACGATTTCAGTATAAAAACATGATTCTCTTAATATAAAACATATGAATCGACTCTAAGAGAGAAAACAATGAAGTTGCATCAGTTTCGAGTTCAACATGAAGTACGAATGAAACTGTACTTGAGAGATCTTCCATTGTCAATCTACTGTTAACATCAATTGTGAAGAAGCCCATATATCTCAGTTTATTATTACCGAATTTTTAACAATTAAAATATTTTACATGAGATAGTGAAAGTTCATTTGTTACAAAAATGAATGAAACATTACCAATATAAAAATCAACTATCGAATATTATGAATTTCGTCGATTTATATTGATGATTTAGCATGACTCAATTTTCACACGCTAAATATAAAATCAATTCAGATTTTTGGTTAATAGAAAAAAAAATGGTTTGTTATATAAATGATCATTTCATCAATGTTCAATCAGTGGAAATAAGTAGAATATATCGAATGATATAACCTATAATCACTTAAATAGATTTTTAAATATATCATCAATTTGAAATATAATACAAGACAAATATCAATTAAAATACTTTATAATGATCTAATAGAAATATTAAGAAACACAACATATCATAATCGTCATCAAATCATAACTGAATCAAAAAAAAAATTAAACAATTAGAGATCCATTTTATTGGATAACAAAGAGATTAATAGAAAAACAAATCAGAAAAATATGTTATTTATTTTCAAATATTGAACAATTAATTATTACAGAAGCATTTAGATCCATTGAATCGATACCAATATTATTACATAAATTAAAACATTTATCTTTTTTGAGTAGACCTAACTCGAATTATTCAACAATGACACCGATAGATAATTCAAATTTTCGACAATCGAATTGATTAATTTAGATATTCACTTTTGTGTACTCAAATATTAATCAATTCTATTTGATTTTTATCGCTTATCGTATCTTTATTATGATGATGAATGCTTTTGCATCAATCGATTTTCCATATTCAATTATTATTGTTTTCCAAATTCATTTTCATGAGTGAAAAGATCTGAAAGTTGAATAGGTTATATCATTTTTTACGTTCATAACGAAACAACTGATTCACTTATACTCTCACTAGAAAAAATATATAATCATTTGATTTTTGTTCATAAGATATATATAAGATAATACAATTCAAAGAAAGTCTTTCTTGAAGCATTGGCAAAAGAGTTACAAAACAGTGTTGAACGATCGATCTGATTGATTAGTCTGATCTTGATAGAATTTGTTTGTTTTTATGTCTAGTTTTCTAGCATAGTAAGACTATTAGTGTAGGTATAAATATAGATGCAACTGAGAGAAATGCCCATCATCACACCGACACCCTTATTATTTGTTTTTTCGTTTATCACGATGAATGTTCTGAGCATTTCGCTTTGTTGTATTTCATCCGATATTGTATAAAATAGAATGTACTTTTGTTTTAGTTTATTAAAAGCTTGAGGTCAACAATGGAAATACATGTGTAATAAAAGAAGAATCGTATTCTTCTATAGCAGAAACTATATCAGAATTGTAAGAATCAAACACGAGTGGCCGATTCAATATCATAGACGAACGACATCTATCAATAAGAATAGATGTCATAAAAATCAAAATTATTTGATTTTTGACATTATTTTTTTAAGAAAAATAATTTTTACACGAATTTTAATCGTTTCTGAAAAAGCTCATTTTTATTTCATAATAAGCATTCGTATACTCCAATAACTATCCAATAGAAATGATGAAAGAATACTATGAATAATTATTAATTTCGAAATTTCTGCTTTTAAACCTCATAATATAATCTCAATTTTTCTTGGATTTTTCATTTATTCTTTTAGTTACGACATAGATAAAAAACCGAAAACCATGCAAGTATTTGTTCGCGGCGACGCGGAGCTTATACCACTCGAACTTGAAACCGATGATACTGTACAAGATATTCGTGTAAGTTATTTTATATATATTATATAATTACAATTAAATCCATTTTTGTTTTCTTCAGGAATATATTGCTGAGGAATATGATATTGATATGAATGAACTTGTATTAAGTTATAATGGTACAGTATTGAACGACGAACAAACAATTGAACAATGTGGTCTTCTATCTGGTTCAACACTTGATGCTACTATGAAATTATTTGGTGGTAAAGTCCATGGTTCATTGGCTCGTGCCGGTAAAGTGAAAGGTCAAACGCCAAAGGTAATATAAAATTAAATTTTTAAATGAAGAAAATGAAAATTTCCATTCTATTTAGNACCGCTCTGCCGTTCTCATGCCGCTCTGTCGCAGAGTAACGAATTTGTTTTAATTAAATTTTTGATATAGTGTTTGTTTCTTTTGATGTATGTGTACGCATACATGAAAAATATTATTCTTTTTCTTTTCAATATTCTTTAGCCGTAGATTAATCATTCTTTCTGGAAAAAACGAATTTTTTTCAACGCGTCCTATATTTGCAGTTAAAAAATTCATCGATATGGAATCAATTATGTGATTTTTATTTGAACATATATATACACATACATAGATTATTTATTAACACAAATCTAATAATTATTCATATTTTTGTTAAATTTACTTCTTATTCGACTGCATTTCTTGTTCAGTATTTCTTTATATTGATTGCTTGTGCGAAATTTCGCATACCGTGCTTCATATAAATCAAATAATTGCCTATCAATGGCACCTACTCTTACTGGATCAAATGCTTGTGTACCACGGACAGAGGCGTCAACAGATGAAACTCTCAATTCTTCTTCTGTAAATAAAGTTGAAAAAAGATAGGCCAAAAGATGACGAAATCCAGTTTCTTTCTTCAATAATTCTTGATTGGTAGCTAATTGTTGTCTATCATGCTTTTCTTTCATAACGTGAAATGTTGTTTTTGTATTTGGATCAGTGAAAATTATTTGAGATCCCTAAAAAAGCACATTGAATATAAAATATAAAAAACTTTAATAAACAACTCGTTTCAGTTTATATTTACATTAGACGCTAAAACTGATGAACATACGTTCGTAGACAGAGTGTTTGAAATTTGATTATCAGCTTTTTGCCTTTTTCCTAAACGATTCTGCTGGATATAAGAATTTCTTAGACTAAAAGTACTTAAGAAAAAAAAGTTCAACATACTACACTAATTGGAGTAGATATAGGTGATTCATCACTATCAAAATTCATGCTACGTTGGCGTTTCGGAGTACAACTTGAAGACGATTCAAACTTATAAAGTGAGTATAATAATTCATTTGCAGATGGTATAATTTCAGTTGATGTTGGTACTGCCAGTACTGGTGCAGATATGCTTTTTGGTTGTTGTAATAATATTGATGCGGCATCATCAATGTCCGTGCTTTGTGTTGTATCTGTACTACAAGGAATCGAACCGCTCTAAAAGGAAGTTATATAAAAAAAAGTTAAAATACTGATCAGGGTATATTGAATATCAGAATTCTATGAATTTTTTGAGAGAAACATGTTTTACAGGACCCAATTATTTGAAATCAGAGTGTTCCGTTATGTTTTATAACCTAAATATCTTATCGGGATTCAAGAGAATTTTTTAGTCAAGAAGTATCGTTTAAGCGTTCGTAGCATCCATCATTGTAGATCGTACTGTATAGATAACGTATTTGAGCTTTATAACCGGATACTTTTTTCTGATTTGTTTGATCTCATTTTTCTTTCTTTTTGATGTTTCTTTTCTCTCAGCATGTATATATAATTAGATATATAAGCCAAAAAAGTGTCAAAAGAAGAAATCTCATAACTATTGAAACATAGCGGTTCACTATCTTTGAAGAAGCAATCAAATCAATTAGGAAACAAAATGAAGGTCGATTTGTATATGATCTATCTTAAAATATAAGAGTAATACTCAGAGGAAGAAGAAATACGGACCGGCAAGTCAGAATACATTTTGAAACGATTTCTTAATGTTTCTTTTTCTCTAATTTATAGTTTCTATCTACTTACAACTTGTTCTTTGATTTGATTTGATGCATGTTGAATTGCACTTTCAAAAGATAAAGCTCTTTCTCCAATTATTTCCAAAATTTTTGTACAACAGTTTTCTGTATTAATAATACTAGCTGATTTATCACTTTTGTCCTTTAGCAATTCACATACTGTTGTATCAATCGTTGTTTGTTTAATCAATAACGTATCAACGGTTGTCTGAAGAGTATGGATTGAAGTTTCCATTTTGTCAAATTTTGTTAAAAGCAAATCTAGTTTCTCATTTAAAATTGATAATATTGCTATTTTATTATTGTTATTCACTTCTTCAAAATCGGATTCATCACTACTTTCGACGACTTCTAGAGATGCTTCACGCATCATTTTAGCTTTATACATTGCTGAAGTTGAATAGATAACCAAAATATACAATATCTATGACTTCTGTTAAATGAAAAGTTACAATATTTTTTTTGCTTTTTCTAAAATTAGTTTATTTTTCAAACCTAGATAAGCTTATTAATTTCATTGTATGAATAATCCTAGTATATTCCCATGTAATGACAATTAATTATCAAAACATGTCTGTATATATTTTTTGGGGTGTGGGTGTGGGTGTGTGTGGGTGTGTGGGTATGGGTGTGGGTGTGAATGTAAGTTGTGGGCATCTGTTTGGTTTATCCAGATCCACACGCAAACCACCCACACCCACATCCAGCCACACCTACACATACCCAGCCACATCTACACACACCCAGCCACACCTACAGACACCCAGCCACACCTACACATACCCAGCCACACCTACACACACGCAGCCACACCCACACACTCATACCAACACGCACACCCACACCCACACCTTCCACACCCACACCAAGACCCACACCCACACCCCACACCCACCCACACCCACACCCATAGATGTAACTTTTCATTTGTGTTGTTAGCATGTGAATTCGGAAGTGTTCTTCATTTTTACTCATAAATCATCTCTTCAAGAATAAATTTTTTCGTCTGAAAACATTTTTTATCGATATTTTTGAGTTTTGGGACCACATCGATGTTTGAATTTGTCGATCTTAGGTCGTTTAGGTAATGTATTGAAACATCCTGATCGAGCAGATTTCGCTTCATTTTTCTTTTCTTCTTGTTTTAGTTGACATATCAGGAATTTTATAAAATCGGGATGCTCAATTACTGATGGTTTATGTGCACGGAAAACTGGTAATAATTCATACAAAATGGATACATTTATTGATGAACGAATATATTGCAATAAATAATGTTCCTGTTGACGTTGGTAATTTTCTAGTTCTCGTCGCAGATTGTATTCCTACAGTGAATTAAATATTACTTTAAATGTAAGAACAAATGCTAGAGTAACTTTTTTGTGTTACTTACCAAACGGTGCCAATGAGCTAACAACGGTGCGTATTCATCGAAGAATCTTGTCTGAAACCAATTTATATAGTAATTTTCTATATAGAGAGTCCTAGTTTCCAATGAGTCATATCTAAAATTATGTTCATCATGAATGATCTCTTTGTTAAATTTCCAACCATAATTAGTATTAATATTTTCTTCTATTACCACATAAATACCTTGCAGAGCAAAGTCATTGTCAAAGTGCTCAGGAAGTGGTTGGTGATCATCGTATAAATAAGTCAAAGACTTCGCTTTAATACGTTGAAGAGATTCTTGAGCATTATCCAATTTAATTTGTTGCTTGTAAGAAAAAAGTGAAAAATAGAATTTTTTTACCACTATCAATGTATGATGACACAATCGTAAACCGAAAACTTTAGGATTTAAGAGAATGGCCATGATAAGAGAATAGATACCGCCTAACGTGTTAGAATCATCTAAATTGTATTCATTTCGGATAAGAGCAATAATAAATTGAACAGCTGTATCACGTACTTCCAACAGGTTCTTCGCCCGACGATATTCAATACGGGTTTTTTCATTAGGAATATTATTAGAATTCAATCGAACTAGATGTTTGTCTTTCAAAAGAGGAACAGGTAAAGGATCTATACATAGATAATCATATAACTGAAGCAAGCCAAATACATTCGCTTCTTGTGGCAATTCAGTGAATAAAGCAGATGAATGTTCGGTAGTGATTGATCGAAAGATAGCCATAAACCAGTTATGACGAATTTGTGAACCCAACACATATTCACCAGTTTCATTTTTACCAGACATGAAATCATCTGCATGAGTGACAAGAGCGACCAAATAAGGAAAATGATCGAGTTGTTGTTGAGTAAGTTGAACAGTTTCCTTAGAAGTACCAAAACGAAATGTGTACATTACTTCTTGAGTTGGTGCGCCAATATCAGATGTTTTATCCATTTGTCGTTATATCAGTTTCAAGAAATGGTTCGCATTATAACATCAGTTGACAACGTTGATGTCACGTATAGTTGGAAGAAAAAACAAATGTTGGTTTTTTCCGTTCTTGAAACATTGAGTCATACTCTTACACAAAAAGAATGAAATGACTCAGTGACATCTTTCGTCACTTGATATTTTCTCAAAAGATTTATATCAATTATCCAACCTATCCTATTGATGCAAGATATATTTCCATTCAAGGAATGTACCGAGGAAAAGAAAAGGACTCCTTAAACTTTTATAAATGGTAAGGTCATAAGGAAGAGTCTATATATAGCGTCTGGGTGTGGGATGATTTATCTGTATACATGAGGGACTCATGAATGATTTATGAATTTAGGAGAATCGTCATGAATTCGATGAATGATCAGGTCCTTGTTCAGAATCATTTTCTAATCTCACAAAAAAAAAATAATTGATGCTATTATTGCTCTTTGTAGTTGGAATGGGAAAGTTATTTCTGGAAGATTTCGTGTAATAAAATATGTTAAAGTCTTACCTATTGAAATACTTTTATCATGATCCAATCAGCTCTTTTCAATCACTCCTATTTAAGTCTGATATCGACGCTTTTATGTTGAAAACAAAGATCTGGTTACAAATAAATATGAATTTTATTTTATTGGTTTTTCAAAGTAAAAAAAAACGAACAATAACGAGAAAATTTTTATAGAATTAACTATTAAAGAAAACTCAAAGATTCAATCAAATGTCTGAATATCAATTCGACTATTAGGAAAACGATTTAAAACCATTAAACGATAATGTTCAACTTTTTTACTAGCCGTTTTATCATAAATATCAAAAAAAATGTATCTTTCTTGATGGGTCAATTTCATTTACATACTAATCACTTCAAATGTCAAATATCTTTGTCATTGTCGACTCGAAAATTCATATTGTGTTGGTCTTATGGTGCGGATGTGGGTAACAATTTAGTACTCTTGAAGGAGCAATTACACCTAAACTCTAGAGATTTGAACTCCTTCAGATTGTGGCAGACACTAACCAGAGAACATTACAAACCATATACAAACAACGTCTTATTCTAATATTTGAAATACTTCCTTGTTCGATTTCCAGAGGCTTAAGTAAAACCATGGTAAAAGGGTGTGCCTTAAAATAGATAGAAATGAACACTTTCTGTCACAAATCTACCTCTGTTTCCTTTTGGTAGATTCTTTTTTATTTCAATCAAAAGAGATCTATACTTATAACAAATGGTATACAAATAATGACTTATTCTTATCATGGTTTATTCGAGTCTTATATAGTCGATAGAAATTCCATGAAGAACTTGTTCCATAAAAGATTCGGTTCACTAAAAAATCTGCTATTTAAAATTCACAGAGCTCAATTTCGATTTGAACAATATTCAAAACAGGCACAAGTATGAATTTCAAAAATATACTTGCCTATAATTTGAATAATTTCTTCTCGTTTTTGTTTGTTGATTCTATAAGAATTGTAATGCCATTAGAAGATTCTATTGAAAATTGTGTATGTAGCCATCTATCTTTTGTAGCATGGTCTTCAAGTCTTTTAGGAAACTTTTTGGATTTAATGATACTCACGGGCTTAAAAAGTCCAATGTATGTATCACCCAAGCGATTGATTATAAGCTATTCGGAGTAATACGAACGACTAGTAAACTTATGAGCTAATTGAATACAAAAGAATGAGAAATTCTTAGTCCACTCATATACAGTTCCTCAGTATAGTCACTCTAAGTGGCAAATTAAAACATTTACTAATAAGACTAAAAAATCATCTGGTTTAGTTTTGAAACTCAGATCTACCATGTATTTCATATACAATATCGGTGATAATTGAACTTTGCAAATTTCAAACAGCATATTTTTTCCAAACAATCAAGTTGTCTATCAAATGACTCCTAACTGAAACTTATATCAATTACATAAGATACAAAAACACTTAACTATACAAATGAATCATTATTTGTACGACATCCATAATAGAAAGAAAAAAATTAGGAGTATTCTCTAATACCTTTTTTATTGATATTACATCGAGGGGGGAAACAGCGGACTTCAGACTTCAAGTGACTCCAACAATTGAGACTTCAAAGTTTCAAAAGACTTCAGAAGACTTCGAAAGACTTTATGAGACTTCTGAGACTTCATGTGACTTCATATGACTTCATTAGACTTCAAGAAACTTCGAGACTGAATAAGCGGTCGAGAAGCCTTAGAAATGACATCAGACTTTTGTACCACGCAAAACTAGGGGAGGGAAGTTATCGTCACGCTACCAAGTGGCTGATAACAGGCCCGTTACCAGTTACCCGGTAACGGAGTAACGGATCCGTTGCCAGTTACCGGATAACTGGTAGCGGAAAAGTTATCGCCGTTACCGTTACCCGCTCACGAGGTAACTTTTCCATTACCAGTTACCCGGTAACGGTAATGGTATGGTAACTGTCTCCCGTCCCCAGCCCCAGCCCCAAATCCTATGGTCCTCAAGTCCTTTTTGTGAAAAAAAAATTTTTTCGAAAAATTGTTTTTTAATGCAGAAGCAGAGTTAAATTTTTCTGAAAACACCCGAAATTTTCTTCGAAAAGCATTTGAGGATCCAAGGGTACCCATCAACGATTGAGTGGGAAGTTACCGTTACCGAACCGTTACCGAACCGTTACCGTTACCAGTTACCGGGTGATGGAAAATATATCGCCGTTACCGTTACCCGATAAGATGGTAACGGATCCGTTACCAGTTATCGGTAACGGTAATGGTTCGGTAACGGTAACTTTCCACCCCCAAATAAAAGTTCACATATCTGCTAAAATAAGATCATCAAAAACTTTACGATTGCATTGTGTTTCTTATGAATTTTTTGTACACTAAGTGTACGTCGAAAAATCCAAAAGACTTCATGAGACTTCATCGGACTTTAAAAGCGAAGTCTCAGTTGTTTCCTTCTCGTATTACACAAAATGAAGTCTTGCGTAACGACACTCAGAAAAAAAAGTCAAATTATAAGAAAAAATAATATGAAAATATCACACGTGTCATCAATGCATAACAGAAAGAAAAAAAAAACCAATGACAGAGAAAAAAATCAGGGTTCTGTTAATGAGACGATGATAATGCATAGCACAGTCGCTTTTCGCTGATTACTCTTTTTTTTCCTGCTATTGGTATATTCCCAGGTGAATTCTACTTGGATTAATCAGTATCATGAGTATGTGAGGTAATGCGCTTGCATAAAAAGATGAGTTGTTCTTCGAAAACAATATTCTTCCAAACAAATCATAACTAGATTGTACAACCACACATTTGGACAATACATCTAATTCTTTTCTGCTTACTTTATTTCAAGTAATCACACAAAATGATAAAAGGTGTTGAGTGCACAGTAATTATTGTCGGTGCAGCAACGATTGGTGCTTGTACTGGTGCAGGTTTTGGTGCACTCAGTGCTACCTGTGTAATGCCGTGGTTTGGGACCATTGCTGGTATCACTGGTGGTGCTCTTATTGGTGGGATGATGGGATTTGCTGCTGGAGTTTTTGGTGCTGTTGTTCATGCTAGAGACAAATCATGTTAATATTATAGTCAAATTTTTTCATCTTTTTTTGATGATGATTGTTTTTACTGTTTGAATAAAAGATTTCTTTCACACAAAGTTCAAAAGAGTTGTAAGTATTGTGTGAAAGAGGATCTCTTGCAGAACCAGACTAGCGAATCTTAAGATATTGAGCTAATTCATCGGATTCATGGAAAAAAGGTCAGCTTAAACTAAACTCAAATTCATATAATCCTACTAGAATTAATAACTTCCTTTTCGAATGTTCAATTCGAATGATTTCTGGGGAAAATATGTTGAGAAAGTTACGTGATGATGAGATAGAATGAATCTTGTAGTACACTTATCCTTATGATGCCACAAAAAAACAAATACCCTTAATAAAATAGTAAAAGTACGACGGTGACAATGCCTATTGCTGTTTGACTATTAAGGATCCCAGTATTCGATCTATAAAAATCGTATGATGCTTTTCGAAAAAGTTTCCTAAAAGACTTGAAGACCATGCTACAAAAGATAGATGGCTACATACACAA